GTGCTTTTTAAGAACAACCTTAAAATTAAATTTGTTTATTATATCCGGGTCACCTGAAAATTAATATTATTTATAAGTTAATTAATATTTTTATAATAAATATCTTTAATAATATAATATTGTTAATTTTTGTATTGCTAAACTTGTTAAAAATATTAGTGTATTAACTTTGAGATTAATTATAAAATGCTTATTAAATAATTATATTTAATTAAAAAGTTTACTTCAAAATAATATATACGGAATTAAAAACTATTTATAAAACTCGGTAACAATCTTGATAAAATTTTAGACTATCACTTTCAACGGGTAATAAATTTTTATCATTTACCTGTTATTAAGCAATCATTGACTTTATTATGCGCAAGCACAAACGGCAATTTTGTATGGTTGATCTTTTCAAATAATTTTGTTAGCCAATCTGAAAAATTGTTCTCGATCACCGAAGCATTTCCATTAGTGATCGCGCTGTAATAAGCCAGGTATTTGATACTTTGATTGTAGTATTCAATGAGCGCTAACTCGCACTCATTACTGGTAAACATAATGACGAGTACTTCACGAAAGTTTGTATTTCTATTGTAATACTTATCGTTAGTATTAAACCCGAAATCAAAGGCTGCAGCACTCATCTGGGACAATATATGAGCATGATTAATTCCTGCTATACTAGCCGAGTCCTTTACGGCCTGTATCTGTCGTATGGTATAACTCGTGGGAACAATGAATAACACGTTTTGCATATAGTTTTCAAACTGAGTCTCGGCTCTGGATTTCATTTCCAATACTTGTAACGCGAATAAGGACTCGACGTTTAAGTCGACACTCCCTCGAGTCGTGTCCGTGAATACGAGCCTTACTTTCAAGGGATTTGTATCGACTATATTCAGTCCATATTTATTAAGCTCTTCATTGATGGCTACATCCCTTCCCATAATATCATTGGTTTTAAATACCGTTCCGTTTAAGAATAACTGGGCGTTGCAGCCATGGATTATGCGATTGCCATCAAACGCTATACAGTTTAAGGCGCTATTACCTTGGTGGTCCACAACAGTTTCTATATGACTAAGTTGTTTGTTAAAATATGCGCCAATAGGGTTGTCATTGAATTGTGCGACAAGTGAATAGGATTTGTCTTTTTTGCGATCATTAAGTGCTTTGTATTTGTCTTTCGGATGATTCATATTAATTGTAATATTGTTGCGATTCTTGTCAATCAATTCACGTAAATAGTTATCATTAAATAGTTTTTTGGACTCAGAAATCAACTGTTCCTGGTGAGGCCATAACTGATCCAGTAAGTCTTTATGTACTTGCTCAAATTGGTGGTCGGTTAAATAAACACACTTTGCTAGTTTATTGGAGAATTTGGCGGAATATTCTTGGTATAACTTAAATGTAATATCATCCATTAAAGTTTTAATAAATTTGTGGTTAGACTCATTTTTGCGCCCATAATCTGGGTACAATTTTGCCAATTTATTTTTGACATCAGTTTTACATTTTTCGATTAATGCCTTTTTGTTTGAATTAATAGGTATAGCCTTGGTAAGATTAGTCCAGATAATATCGTACATAGCTTGATGTTTTTGCATAAGCATGTTGGTTGTAAATGTGCCCGTTGTTAATAATTCGGTCATTTTGTTTGCATATTGTTTACCAGCGTTTTCAGTATAATCAAGAGCAATTTTAATATTTTTATTATTGATTTCCGTTATTTTGTTTTTATAGATTTTGATGTCATTTTTAGTCAACTCATCGTATTTTTTAACCAAATAGTAGTCCCCTTGAAATGTGTCCACAATTACTGACTTTTCGAGTAAATAGTTATACAAATGTTCATCATTTATGAGATACTCGTCCCGTTGGCATAACTGTCCACAATTGGCCTCAAAATCGGTGTATATTCTGCTGAACTCCATGTATTTGAAGGTCTTGTCGGCCATTATTTTCTGTAATTTTGTTGAATAGGATTTCCGCAAACCTTTCAATTCAGTCGCTTTCGAGTCAAACAATTCATTAATCGCTTTAACCGTCGGTTTGTATATTTGGTCCAAATTTTTCCCACTTATATAGAGTTTAAAGTTTACGTCAATTTTCTGTCGAAACAAATCCGAGTATTTGTCGCCCAATTCAGCCATCAATTGGTCGCCAATATTGACTCGTTTATCGCAAATTTTCTCAAAATTTGTTTTTTCCAAATCCATAGCACTGTCCAGCGATTGCCTACACTCCTGGACCAGTTTGGTGTCGTTCCCCTCCTTGAGGACTATATTAAACTCATCCATAACTTTAGTTTTCACCGATTTGTGTGCCATATCTAAACCCTTAGTTATATCGGACTCTGTTTTATCTATAATATCACAAACACATTGCTTATATTTTGTCATCAAGGTGGCCAGATATTCATCCAGTTGCTCTTTGGTGTATATATCTGTAGGCTGGGCTGCCGACCCACTGTTTTCATCACTTATTTGATTGTTTTGTGGACTTTCATCGACTTTATTGTCCGGTGCTTTTAGGGTGATATCTGAATCGTCCGGTGCTTTTTGGATGGGGTCTGATTGGTGTCCATTAGGTATTGGTATCTGGCAAGTGAATGGCGTGTTAGGCACCAGTTTATTTGGCTCAGGTGTGTTATTAGTTATTTGATCAGAAAGCGTGTTAGTATCTATTTGATCTTGATCAGATACATCCGTTTCTTTATTGAACTCGGATAACATGCCAAAACTATTATCATGATCGGTAACAGTGTCATCCAGGTTAGTTTCAATTAGTTTAGTCTTTTCATCATCCGTTTGAGCATTGTCATCGGAAATAGCCTGAGCATTTAGAGATATTTTAGTCCAACTATTGGGTTGAATATTATCGGGGTCATTGAAAATTTTAATGCTATTTTCAATTGTATCCATAATATCACCAGTGTTTGTAAATATTTTGCTACCAGGCCAATTATTGATATTTAGGACTTTAGTTTTAATAAATTCCGTAATTTGTTGGACATATTCCCGGTTTAAATCCGCAACTTTCCAATCAATAAATTTTACATTATCTGTGGGACAGGCGGTTAGGTATGAGTCCTCTTTATTGAATTCACGTTCAAATTCTTGCGATTCTTTAAATTCTTTAAGAATTTGCCGAAAGTTATCCACAGTTTTGTGGTTATCAAAGAGCTCCCAATTATCAATCAAATCAATTAACATCTCATACGATACCACATTATATAAGAATTGATGTTTGATATTCTGGTTCCATTGTCTCTGAAATTTTAAGAAATGAACCGGCTAAAAATATAATTTTAATCATGATAAAAACCACTTACGCGCAGATTAAGTCGCTTTTGGTTAACAATAAACACAGTTGATATTTTTGAAATCAACCGGAACATTTGCATCAATGATGTATTTTTGATGAGGTCCTCAAACTGATACTGGTAATTTTGTAAATTAACCAACAGGATTGCCACTTTTTTGCCATCATGTTCCTTAATAAACGGTTTATCCCACATTTCAATGCCTGGATTTTTAGCATGACCATTTGCGGTGTTAGTGCCAATGTTACGGAACCCATAACCGTATGTGAGTGTAACATTGTGTGGCCAGTCAACCTGGTCACCCCTTTCCAAGCAATTTAGTATGAGATTTATAGTGAATGTGTTGCCCTCGAAGTGTGAGCCCACCACCGATATGATGGCTATTTCATCGCACTGTTCCTCATTGATCTTGGTCAATATACTGTCAATTAAATGTTTGTACACGTGAAATTTATCCCCGATCAACTCCACAATACAAAAGCCTGTCATTATTATTTGCAAAACATTTGCTTGAAATTCTGTGTATAAATAAAATATAAAATATTAAGTTAGCAATTTATAGTATAATATTTTTAACTAACTTAAGTTATCTATTAGTAAGTAATAAATTAGAAATAAATATTTTCCCTGTTACTAAATTAGTAAACAAACATGGGCGTTTATAACATAAAACTTTTAAAATATAAAGTTAATGTAAACAGATATTTTCTTATAAAATAGTTAATAAACAGTAAAAATAAATTTAATTAAATTAATAGCTAGTTAATACCAAAAACACAAATAATAAAAATCACAATTACTTACAATAATTATTCAATATAAACAAATACAATTATTGTTAATTTTATTTTGAACAACAACTTGTAATAATTATTTTATGTAACAGTTATTTAATATTAAAAATTTATATAAAATTCAAAATAACATTACATTCATAGTCTGTATACACGATGTCTCTGATTACTTGATTCATTACATATACAGACAATTTATTTATCTTTTTCTGGTGCCCATAGTTACACATTAAATGCCTAGACATACAGTTTTAGCCAGTTATATTTGAGTGATATTTATCATATATTTAGTAATATAAGTACTGTAACTCTAAAATATTACCGAAAACTTATAACTTATAAATAAAACTGGTTTTTGATATTTATTTATACTACAAGTATTTCAGCGACAATAATATTTATGTTTTAACCTTTGATTTTGACTATCACATTTAAATAGCTTTTATTTTTGTTACCAGAGTTAATGTTTAATAATATTTATTACTTATGATAAGTATTTCAAATGCTAACTTTTTCTCACCATACTATTGCACAAAATAAATGTAAATAATTATTTAATTTTAATTATTAGTCATATGTTTATGTAATTTAAATTCTACATACATTTCATAACTGTAAGTAATTTTTAAAATATATCTATTTAATTAATGCTATGAATATTAATCAAAAATATTAGTCACTTAAATATAAGCCATATTAAATAAATTAATATTTATATAATATATTTTTAAAATTAACCAGGTTATTAATCCTTAATAATTAATTTTAAAAAATACTTGTTAATTTTTAAATTATACATTAATCTAACAAACACTACTATATACAGTTATGTAAAGTAAACACTCACTTTAAATAATTTTTAAAAATTATCTAGGTTATAATCAGTAACCATGAGTGACAGGACAGTGTTCGTGTTGGACGTGTCGGGGTCTATGGCCGGGGCTAAGGCCCAGACCCTACACCTACAGACCGTGCGCTTCATTGAGCGCATATCTGACGGAAATTCCGTGGGAATCGTGTTATTCAACGGCAAGGCGTGGACAGTGCACGGACTCACACGACTGGCCACCCGGGAAATCCGCAACGCCATCATTGCCAGTGTCCCGCAAACCGGTAGCGGCTCTACCGATATCAGGGCCGGTATTATGGAGGGGCTGTCGGCGTTCAGTAGGGCCGGTGTCAGTACAGTCGGCGCTAATATGTTTTTGGTTAGCGATGGCGGGCATTGCTGTGGGAATCCAGACTACGTGAGCGATGTGTTACCACATTTAAGTCAGGCTCAAGTATGTTGACCATGCTTAGTTTTGTTAATTGTGTTTTAATCTCTCTCTCTCTCTCTCTCTCGTTTTAGGTGCGAGTGGTATGTGTGGCCATAGGTTCCAGTGCTGACCCACACCTCGAGCGCCTATCCCATGAGACGAAGGGAACGGTATATAACATCAGTCGTGTGGGCGCCGACAGTAAGGAAATGATAGCCCGTATTATGGAGGCAGCGATGCAAGAGGTGATCACATCCAAGGAGATGGCAGAAGTGGTCACCATATCTGTTGTCAACGAGATATTAACCATCGATGACAGCACCGACTCCGCAGAGATACAGGTGCCCATTGACCCTGACATCGGCCGAAACACGCAAATACAGGTGCGATCAGAAGACATCAAGTTTATAGATATTGATATTACCAGCCCTTCCGGCACCACATATAGTACCAACGGTGGACAGGTGTTAAAGCGCCTGGAGCTGAAACAGTGTCAGCAATATATGGATGAGACTGAGCCGGGCGTATGGCTCATTAAACTTAATAAACACTGTGGACAGGCTGTTAGGGCTCATGTTAAGGTCGAGAGTGAAGCTACCGGTGTTAATGCCATTCAGATGAATGTCCAGTTGAGAGCACCGGAAGCCGACTGCCCACCCATTATAGTCTGTACCCTATCGAAGGCTAATGAGCCGGTAGTCGGCGCTGTAGTCACAGCTACTGTGGACAGACCTAACGAAACACAGACTGAACTCCCGCTTAATAACTATTATGAGGGCTTTTATTATGGCTATTATACTGATTATAGCGGCACCGGGAGGTATAATGTCAGCGTATTGGCCACCAATAGTGGGAATAGTACTAATTGGAAAGGTATGTAGTTTAGTAACATAATTGTTAATGTATTATATTATAATAAAATAATACTATATTTATAATGACCAGGCAAAGTTACTGGACAATTTCGTAGGCAAATAGTAGCCTCGAGTTTCCAGATCAAGGACTACCAGCCCTCCCAACTCCCAAGTGGTGACCACTTTCAAGAACTGCTACTTAGCAACGCATTTGGAGGGATGCGTATAAATAGTACCTCCAATGGACAGGCAGCTGGTGGTACATCCGCCTCAGGACAACCTACTAGTTTTACATCTACGTCCACCAAAGTGACCATGATCAGTCCACAAATGAAACAACTAAAACAAAAGTTATCAGTTAACTTTGTTAAAACAAAACGTGCAATTAATGGGTCCAAGTTATCAAAATCTGACCAGTATAAGTTGATAAAGTCCCTTGCTGATTTTGATGGTGAGCAAGGCTATTTATCGTCGATTAAGGAGACCTCTGTGGAGGAGGTTAATAGTTATCAGCGAAGACTCGATGATATTAACAGCAAAATTAATCTAGCTAAACTTGTCAATGATTCTTGAGTAAAAAATAATTTTATAATCTTTTTAGCTATAATGATGTTTTTGTAAAAATGTTTTGTATCTACGATATATTTATATTGGATAATTCCTACATTTAATTTTTATAATTAATACAATATTCAAGCAATTATAAAATTAAATAATTTAAAATACTTTATTATATTCCAAATATGTCAATGTAACATAAATAAAATAGGGAATTAAAAAGTTTGCAAACATAAAGTTACACTGAACTGTAAAAACTATTATAGTAGAATGAATAAAAATTGAAATCATTTTATAAATTAACAATGTGTAAACATCATGTTTAAAACATAAAAATTAATGCATAAATTTGGGAACAATTTTAAGCTTAAGTATTATATTTAATACTAGAAGTCGTATTCAATTTTGACGATTCAATAGCTCATCCATCGTGAGCCGACCCCTATATTCTGTGATCTCCAACTCGTGGACCGTACCCATGGACACCACTTCAGCCCTCACTTTCAATATACCCTCGTCATTGACACAGAACACCACGGATATGGTTTCCTTCCCGGCCTCGCAGATTCGCAGCGCTGATCATATATGACATACAAATACCGGAATAGGCTTCTTATGGTCTGTCTAACTCAAAATCAATCACTTATACTTGTAAATGCCGGACATTAAGAAATGATCCCAAAAACTAATCATTAAAGATACTTTTTTGATCATTTTCTCACAAATATTTCATAAATATGAACTTGATTATAATTATATTAAGATTTCAATCATATATTTTAGTTAAGAAAAGTGTATTTGCCCCATTTGAGTTTTAAGATAATTTTCAAATAAATTATCCTTTAGTCCCCTTTTTAAAAAATGTTCTCCAGCTTTGAGCTGACGAACTGTTGGCGAAACCCGTTGAGTTTTGGAGATCCCATAACATTTTATTCGAAAATAAGTACATATTAAGCACATATTTGGACATTTTAAAATCCATATTATATTACATATTAGGACAATAATAAATACATAAAATTCAAGGCTCTAATCATCATTAACAAAAGACCAGGCGTATAAAGAGTCAGAGGAGAAACGTCCTAATTGAGTTAATCCATCATTTGTAATTTTCCACTCCTGACTGACAGATATCATACTGTATGAAAATGTGCATTCCCTTATCAATTTCGATTCTCGATAAACCCTCAGTTTTCCAGTACCTCCAGTTTTACCTTCATAATTCTCAGGTTGAAGTTCGACACTCCTGCAGATAAGTGGATATCAATTCAATGCTTGATGAACCAATAAAAATGATAACATACCGTCCCTTGGAAACAATACTGGATTCTTTTCCATCAATGCTAATCTCAGCAGAATCAAAGTCGCTGACGTTATAAACCTTATAGGAATGAGTTTGACCTGAATAATAATAATGATTGAATTCTCAGCGTCTTTTAGATAATTTGAATTAATCCAAATCTGAATTAGCAAAGTTCTTACCCATATCAGCTGATTTCAATACTCAAATTGTGGTAGCAAGCAGTACTTTGTTGTCCGCTGAGAGAAGAAATAAGATAAATAGTTTGGCATTTTGTAGCAAAAAAATTCTTATGTTCAAAAGAGAAAACATGGAAAATTTTTTATTTTATTTTCTCCTACTGTTTGGTAGATATTTATCAAAATAAAGATAAATGATAAAAAAATATTAATAAAATCAAGAGTAACTTACATTTTTTGAATGTGAAACATTCAAAAACGTCCAAATATGACTATAACTGACCACTAAATAAAAAATAAAAAATTATAATTACAAATATTAGTTAAATTGAGAATGACTTACATATTTTTGTTTGAGTGTAACAAAGAATATGATGTCCAGGACCACACCCAAAGAAGCATATGCCCAAAACGAATCTAAAATACTAAATATATTTCACTCATGAGTTTGCTCAGTTAAGTGTTAGCAAGAGTTTATCTTATCATTTTATTATTTCATCCAAACATCCAGTTACGAATGTCACGTACTCGTATTTTCGTAGAGTCCCAATATTTTTTCATTGATTTTGTCAGTTTATTAGCAATTTTTAAGTTTTTTCATGGAAATCCTGTTTTTAATCAATTTTAGGGAGGTATGAAAAGTACAAATTCATGTCCCAGAATAGAAATAGCATAACATCATGATTTTAGGTGGTTTTCTGAAGTTTTGAGGTTAAATTCTATGTTAAACGATACAAAATCTTTATCCTTTAATGTCTTTATTAATGGTTCTAGAAGGTTACAAAAAGTATGAATTCGTTCTGTCCCAGAATCTTATATATTTTTGATCGATATATAGACTTATATTAGCCATTTATTTGAAGAAAATTGGCTACTTTTTATTAAAACATAAACATTGAAACATGTTTAAAACATAAAAATTAATGCATAAATTTGGGAACAATTTTAAGCTTAAGTATTATATTTAATACTAGAAGTCGTATTCAATTTTGACGATTCAATAGCTCATCCATCGTGAGCCGACCCCTATATTCTGTGATCTCCAACTCGTGGACCGTACCCAAGGACACCACTTCAGCCCTCACTTTCAATATACCCTCGTCATTGACACAGAACACCACGGATATGGTTTCCTTCCTGGCCTCCCCGGGCGGTATGTTTGTCACCGTAAACCTGGCCAACAGGTCGTTCCTGGAAGCGACCGGATCCTCGCCCTCATACACCTCCACTTCGATATCCGTTTGAATATTGGTAACCGTTTCGTACACTTTGGTGAACGACGTGCACACCGGCGACTGGGCCCAGATTACGGGCGACATCACGTCACCGACAGCCTCCACACCGAGGGGATGGGGTGTGACGTCCAGCACACGAAGGTTACGGTGCTGTTGGGCCTGGTATCCATTCAGTATAGCCGCCTGTGATTTATAAATTGATAAATGTATTAAGTTTATTGATGTGTATAATTGTAATAACTATTAAAAACTACATGGTTTTAAATAATGAACAAGACAATAATTATTTTAAAAATTGTGTACTTAATAAAAATAAATAATAATAATAATAAAACTAAATAAGCTTGTTATATAATTAATATACATATGAGATACATTAAAAGCAAAACTCACATTTCAAATTTGTTTTCATATGGCTGTAATAATGTTAAAATTTACAATAAAGTCAAATCAATTCATAAATGTCTATTCACTTAATTAAAGATGTTGTCATTTGCACTCCCTTTAAATAAATTATATACATAAATATACATATTATATAAATTATAATACAGTGATATCTCTTTTAAAATAATACATATTATATGATAAAATGTAATAAAATAGTTATTAACAAGGTTCATACCTAGGGTGACCACAAATTTTTGAGCACGAAGGAAATTTACAATAAATGTAATGTTATGGGGAAGACGTGAGGAGGAAAGGGTATTTTCTTATCTGAATTAATAATTTGTCTATATACACTTAAATAACTTAAAATGCTTATCATAAAAATTCGAAATTCGTGTAAAATAATATTTTAAATAATTAATTTGATAAAACTACGATATTTATTGAGACCAGTATAAACTTTGATATAACTATCTTCATATAATATTTTGAAGAAATTGTATTGAATTTAATAAAATTACGGGAATTAGTCACATTTATATAGAAAACATGCTTAACGCACAAAATTAACAAAATTGATGCATTGTATGCGATTTATGTCCAAGGAGGACATCTCAATGTCCTCCTCAGACTTCAGGGTGGACGATGTTCTTATGGGTCGAAAGGAGGACCATCCTCCTTAAGGAGGACGTTCTGGTCACCCTATGGATAACTGAAGTTAATCGATTCATACGCTTTTAAAGTTAATATCAATTAATAGAAAAAAGTTATTATTATTATGTAATATTCCTAATTTGTTTTACTTAAAATTATTTTTAAAATAAAATTTCTTTGAAATACATTTCTCAATATAAATAAGCTATTAAATTTTTGTTAAATATATTTCATTAATTGCTTCACATAATATTGTTTATTGATGCATTAAAAGTATCATTAAAAACTAAACGTGTTATAAATGGGTCCAAGTTACCGAAATCTGACCAGTATAAGTTGATAAAGTCCCTAGCTGATTTTGATGGTGAGCAAGGCTATTTATCGTCGATTAAGGAGACCTCTGTAGAGGAGATTAGTAGCTATCAGCGACGACTTGATGATATTAACAGCAAAATTAATCTAGCTAAACTTGTTAATGATTCTTAATTAAATATTTACGAAATACCTTTTATTAATTGTGATATTCAAATATTGCACTTACCATAAAGTTATTATCTTAAAGCCCGCCAGACTCATTGCAAATGGACAATAGATTATCATGGTAAGATTTTATTTGAATCTTAATAACAAATAAGTTAAGCAATAATTTTATCTATAAGTAATAACCATTTTTGTTCTTAAAATTAATTTAACTTATATATTAAAATTATAACTTAATTTTAATAGAATAGCAATTGACTGATATGTATAAAAATTGCAGGATTAAGGATCAATTATCTTTATAAAACTTTTTTGAAAATTTATAAAAATTTATTTACAATTTAAAAATACAATATCTAAATGTATATAGTATATACCATACATTTTACTTTATTAACAACTTTACCAAAAGTATTTAAAAAATAAAAATATTAAATAAGATAAGAGTAACACAAATAGATAGGGAATTAATTTATGATAATTTGTTTCATGTATTTGTATTGGATGTATAACTTTTTTAGGTTTTTGCTGCAATATATCTAATATGAATCGATAGAAAAATAAATTATCATTGGATTGAAGTCTACTTAATATGGACTCAAATCGGGGATTATTTGTGAGAATATTCCTGTCAATAGACCACTCGTTATATTCGGACAATACTTCACTACATTCCGGTCTTTGAGACCATACTGGTGTCGACATCATAGACTGTAATGTGTTTTGCATTTTAATTACTTTGTCTCTTAAAATGGTGCACCCAGTATAAAGGCTCTTTATACTTTAGAATAAAACAAAATTAATTATTTAAATTTAAATTATAAGAATCTTCAATAAGTTTCGGAAGCAAAGATTGTTTAATACCTCGCTTATTACTTGTAGCTAAAATCTATACTTTGGCACACTTAAAGTTCATTATGAGGTAGCAATGATAAAACAAGAATATTCTGTATTACACCCGGAATATTCTGTTATATTGGATGATATGCTGGACCCATAGTCAGCACAAAGATTACTAATGTTAGAAAACTATGAAGTAGTTCACGACAAAGACATAAATTACAATACTGATGACAAACACACTTCAGATGTGGGCACTAAAAAATACCAGGCACCTGAAATAGCCCAAGGTACTATTTATGGGCATAAAGTGGACATTTATAGT